ATTTAGATTTTCAGTACAAATCGGCAATTTCATACTTTAACCCCTATACTATTGGCCGTTTTATATTACTTACTATTATTGGCCGTTTTAGCCTAATGGTCTGACCTACCACCTCTCAAGCAAAGGCTGTGGGTTCAAATCAGGGCTCGCACCTCTGAGTTTTCGGAATTTACGTGCGAAATTTATTTGAAATTTACTATGAGCTTTTCGGTGGAGAAATGTTTAGTAGCAGTAGAGATCCTTGTGAAAAAGTTTGTCCAGTGTATGAGCATTATTGCCTTCAAGGTGTCTCACATTGGCAACTTACGTCTCAGAGTGACGGAAGGATTGAATCCTTCTCAATATAATGACAAACAAACAATAAAAGACAAACTGCTTCAAAACGAAAAGGCCAAGTAACTTTGGATGAATCCTTCAGCGCAATTTTCTCAAACAGGTTTTTGTCTGATTCATCATTTTAGGTAAATAGTTCTAAATTTAGGTATGAAAGGACACTCATTAATCAATAAAAAACATAAAAGATATATCTACTAACACTAATTTATAAGCTCTTTTCCTATTCAAACTGCCCCCGTGGCCGAACCGTTACCATGCCGGACTGCCACGCAGAGGTCCCAGGTTCGATTCCCGGGCCAGGAGAAATGTTTGTATTGCTTACATTTATTTCTCTGTAAGTTTGGGTGTAGTTTGTGGTTGTCTATGTGTGTGTCCATGGCACCCGCGACACAGGGTTTCCCTAGTGCGGGGCTATGTTGAGTGTGTGCGTTATTTATTTATTTGTTATTTATTTTACTAACAGATTATGGAACTTGTTTTCTGAAATAAAGTTTATTTATTTAAAATACATTTCGAATTTATTAAAACCTGTGAAGTTACGATTATAAATGCAAAGATCGAACATATAGAAAAATTTCATCGACCCGGTGGGACTTGAACCCATGTTAGGTGGTTAGAGCAATGCTACGGTGCAACATGGTCGTGGTTTCAAGTCCCTCCTGATCGACGAAATTTCTCTATGTATTCCATCTTTGTATCCATAATCATAACAAAACTAGTGGAGTTATTGCACAGAAAAACTCAATAAATATACCTGTGAAGTGTTCTAATTTACCCAACTTGACTGTATTAATGATGTTTATTCATTTGCAATAAATTCTCCTCCGCCTTGTAAAACATTGTATCATTGTTTTATTTATTTATTGCATTTATAACCTTACAGAAAGACGCATCAACTTGGACAATAATCAATGTACCGTTACCGATATGTGGAGATGAGAGTCCGAGGGTCCTGAATCCCGTCAGCGACTCGGTATCTGCTGGTTTCGTCGCTCAGGCCACGTGTTTAACGGCGGCATTCTTGAGCCAACCAATGCGGTATAAAATCACTTTGCTTGGCTCGGCCAGCAAGATATTGGATATTACTCCGGATTTGCCTGACCCGAAGTAAGTACAACTCCTTTTCAAGCAAGAAGAAGTAAGTACTACTTTTAGTACCTTGTTGCTAGTAGTTGCTTACAGAAATAAAAACATAACATAACAGGAAAAAACATTAAATTTGTGCTTAAAAAATAAATGCTTGAAAAGTTATAGCATAATTAATTACTTGTCCTATAATGGCACAATAGGAATGGCCGGTGCGAGGTTAATAGGTACCGACCGGTTCTGGCGAGTTGTGGAATACACGGCACGACGATAGATGCGCTTCGATGTAATAATTAGTTTAACTGTTTTTTTTATTTACCTGATGAGTTACCAGGGATGGAAGGCCCTTATTTCGTCTCCATTTCTGGTTATATACTCAATGCAAGGAAACAACGTGACTTCTTATATTTCATATGAAAGGGGAATGAATTGATATCTACGACCATTTCCATAATATAAACTACTTCTAGGCTACTGATCAACGCCATCTAAATATAAGACGGAATTTTGACCTGTTTCAGAGTTACGATCTCTAGTAGGGAGATCAAAAGTCCTCTTGACTTATTGGTCCACGGTTAAAGTAAAGAATGAGTTCGCTCAGTTTTAAAATTCTAAAATTGTAACCAACCATTAATATCTCAGATCGACTCATCCTTAGAACAAAGACCTATGTGCAAGACTACTTATTCTCAGGACATAATACATTTCGTTCGCTGTTTTTAGCTGTGGATATTAGATCGACCGTTGATCGATTTTATATTTCCCAAACGAAATAATATATAAAATTCTGAAAACACCTATAGCTAGGCCTTATTTTGAATAACGAAATTATTTATTTATCCTCTTTTCGTTGTATAATCACATCGAACTCTGTTCTGGCACAATCGAGATATTGTGATTTAAAATTCTGATTTGCAACTGCAATGGACAGGCGTGCCGCTTACCACCGTCACTAAATATCATAAAAAAATCCACCTCAATGGTCAGAACCTTATTACTATTAATTTTTCAGTATACCTCTCTTCGCGCGAGGTGGAGACTTAACCCTATTCCGCTACGCAATGTTTTTGCTCAACAAATGCATTGCACAACTTCTTTGGGGCCGAGGTCTGCCTGTTCATGACATGAGACCTACATTACACAATTTGCAGAAGCTGCTCATTGCTCCATCGAACTTGTGAGTATACTCTTAGTTTCAAACTGAGTGTTTGTTGGGTGGTTGATATTGCTTTTACCTGCCACAAATTGCATTTAACAAACATTTACAAGACATTTATAACAAAACACATATAACAAAAAACATTTATAATTTTTGAATGGAAAATAGACTGACAATATACTTTGTTCTTTCTTTGTGCTTAAATCGTATTCCAAGTTTATGTACTCTAAACTTTTTTATCTGTCCATACTCAAGACATGTCATTTGGATTCGTATTAAGAAATCCATCTCTATTATTTTAATAATTTTCATGATGATAATAAAATGAATTGGGAAAATAAAACATTGCCTCTAGAAATGTCCCACTAGTGTATTCGAACACGATTTGCCGCATCGAGACATGTAAAAATCAAATCATAAAACAATTACCTACAAATTCTCTTCTAAAGCCTGTTCCAATCCATTTTAAACGAAATGTAAAGAAAACGGTTTGTTTGAATTTCTAAAGCAATCACTCAATAAATCGAATAAGTACACTTTCTATCTTTTTTCATCTCATATCTCATCACTTTTTGCAACAATTTTCATTTGGATAACATGTAAAATTGTCTTTGAAGAATGGTAGTCAAAAAGTGAGGTTATTTTTTAATTAAAGATGTATGAATAGTCTATGGTTACATTGTGCTGTACGGAAAAGAACATTCAGTTCATTGAATTAAAGGTTTTGTAATAGATTAGTAAATCGAAAATTTCAATTCCTCCTTCAAAGTGTCAGGATTTGAAGGAGGATTTAAAATTAAGATTTCGGAAATTTTAAATATGCGGTTATAGGTTATGTAATGAAATTTGTTTAAATGAGTCATACTATTCGTTCAATTAATTGATTTGTAGTTGGCAGTAAAATTGGTCATCACTAAAACGTCTAGAGTCGGGTCAGTAACTTGTTTGTTTGAAATGGATTGAAATTTAGTATACATAATATTTTAGTGTTATTATCATTTTTAGTCAAAAATTAAATAGACATATCTAAGAATCTGCATAGATAATTATCATTCCAATTATCAAAGAAAATAATTAGCCTGATAAAATCAAATATCTGGACACCCAGTAGCTACTGTGAAAAATCGTTACCCCTACTCTCATTGCACGAAATTCCTAATTACAGCCGTTTTCCTACTATGACCTAAGCGACTACTCGAAAAACCGTCCCGTTCAAAACTGTGAAAATGGCCCGTTAGAAACTACGAAATTGCATTGTCTTGCATTCTTAGTTCTAGCACCAATCGATACTCAAGTCTGTAGGTCATCCATAGTGGGTAAACGGCTGTAACTACGAATTTCTTGCTTTGGAAGCAGGGCCGTGTACCAGAATCTGATAGCACTTAGACAAATTTAAATTTGTAGTGGGCAACATCAATATAGTAGGAAAAAATGTACTAGATACTTTATATATTCTAATTGACCAGAATTGATCTATCTTCGTGCATGTTTTAAGATCTGTATGATATTTGTGTCTAAGAAAGTAAGTAATCTTTAATACATTTTAAAATTAGACAGAGATATATCAATTACAAATAATATAATATAATAAATATTGTGGGTGATAGATTTATTTACATTTGCAGTTCGAAGTAACTCGCATTTACGCCATTTAACTTTTTTTACCAATCATTGTTTACACACTGCACTGAACTCTTGCCGACCAGTACTAACAAAATTACATACCACATTATATTGATTTGGCTTCGTTAAAATTTCATCGATCAAATTTACTTAGTCCTACTAATGGGCAAGATTTGAGACCCGCTTCTAAATCGTGAGTTCGATGCACCTAATTCGTCGCTCATTTTACAATAAATATGATTACTATGTTTTTTGCTTGAGATTGAAGCGGATTCTCAGTAATTATTGCTACAAAATCGTTATTTTGAAGTGAAAAAAGTTTAGCAGACAGCCATTTGACACAAGTAATATTTTGAATTGACATGACAAGTTAACGTTGCCCAGTGAAAGTAGTTCGATTTTTCTAATTTTAATGCCAGGAGATTCTGGTACACCTATAACATTCCATTAGATTTCCAACAATATTAATATGCTATAATTAGTAAACAAGAACTTGAGATGCATCTTCAATCCTGGGTAACATCACAGCCCATATGCTAAATATTTCAAAAAATGTGCTTTTAAAATATCTGTGAAATTTTAACTTGGAATGCGACAACTTTGCTGTAAATTCGTGTGTTGGTTGGGCTTTTACATGTTAATTGTCGATCAGAATTTTGATGTCTTGTTTGGCTCTTAATATTGTCTTTTGACGCTCGAAAAATGTCTTCAATTGTTTTACCAAGCTCATATAGGTGTGCGGGCTTATGTGTGTATATACTGTTCGTTACAGATCGGATACTTCGAAACTGTTTGGTACATATCATTGGTTAGACAACCAGTGTCCAAGAACGCAGTCGTTACGGAGTCTTGTAGCTTCAGAGAGGGGGAAACATAACCGACAGTTCAATAGATTTAAGGTACAGTTTGGCTTGTGTTTGCTTATTTATTGTCTTTGTCTTTGGTGTGACGTGTTTATTTACTATTTATTTTTATAACCTGTATTATGCTTGCTATTTTGTTAGACTGCATTTGCACTTGTCGTTAATTAATACAAGGTGTTTCTTTGGTCAGCAAGAAAACGCAGCCATTACCTTAGTTGAAAAACTTTTGCCTGAGATCCAGTGTTCGATTCCCTCTGAAGGGCTGGTACCACTCTTTTCAAATCAATAGGAAGATGTTTAGTTGACTAACGTTTCACCATTAATGCTACCCCGAGTAGAGCTATCCCGAATAGTGCTATCCCGGATAATGATAACCCGAATAGCGCAATCCCGTATGTTATCCCGGATAGAGCTATCTTGAGTAGTATTACTGCTAAAAGCTACAATTTTACAACAGGACGCGGTGGACGGGCAGTCGCCAGCGTCTGCTATGAACCTTCGAAGACACAGGCATTCGAGGAGTGTCGGCAGTTATCATGATGATCAGGTAACTTAATTTACTATACATGACAGAAAAATGCATGACGGGTAATGTGACCACTGTTCTTTTGCACATTCTGTTTTTGATTATACATTGTCGTTTGTTTTTATCGTTCTACGGCTTCAAAAGTTTATCTCAATTTACCCACTGTAAATAAGTATCTATCAACCTTCTTAACTCATAGGATAAATTGTAAATTGTTTTATTTATTTGCTATTATATGACATTTCACCTTAGATTTTTATGTCCTTTGGTCGGTTAAAAAATATACCGTTTGACGGCAAAGATTTCTCATTATTTTGAAATACAAAACCAAATAAAATTTAGCTCTATTGTCGTGGTCTCAATACGCTATCCGCGAGGAGCCAAAAAACTAACACTAAGAAGTCGAAAAAAATTTAAAGGCACTTTTAGTTGCATTGGAGCTCATCATGAAAGAGTTTGTCCAGCTCTACTTCCTCGCCTTATCACCTGTCCTATTTCTGCCGACAAGGAGTAAAATGAGCATTACTGCATTCCGGTTTTGAAGGGGTGCTGGTGAAACAACAGGCACGTCATCGTGGTGGGACTTGTCAACTTTAGTCTCAGAGTGACGGGCGTAACGGCAGTATCCCTCAGATATTTGCAATTTAAAGTTATTAGTGGCACTGCAATGGATTGGTGTGCCACTCACCACAAGATCCATGACTTGTTCGTCTTGTTAATTGATATCATAATAAAACAAAACAATAGACTGTATGAACAAATATGGTCGGTCGCATTACCGCTTAACAACAAAGATGCTATTGGGGCCAAGTGTGGGAGTTCAAAAAACAATTACTTACCTAAAATATGTTCATTTTTAATTTTTTTTTTGCCATCACATTTATAATACTAACATATCGTCGGTTAAAAGGTAAAACTCACTAATAGCCTAATTGGCCAAAGGGAGATAATTAAGATTTTGTATTTTTTCATTATGGAAAATCACTAAAGGACTGGTATGTATTAAAACATGAAGGACACCACAGACTTACTGAATTTTTCTTGTCATAGATGTTCTTCCCAATAAAGCAAAATTGAAAAAATCTAGTTTTTGAACAAAATGTCACTTAATGAGTTTTACCTTTTAACCGACGATATACGCACCGTGTTTTGTTTATTTCACACAATGCACTTTTTTGCTCAAGAATTTTTTGTGGAGGAATGTTGCTATTGGTGAAAGTTTACGTCGTAATGTAAGTTGACTGTTTTATTGTTTTGTATATAGCAGACACATTGTAGATAGATTTTATAAGCTATAAAGGTTTTGTTTTACCTTGATTGTGGTGCTGGTGCATGGTTTATACAGTTATACTCTAGCCAAATTCGATACAGAATATTTAATAATAAAATGTTGCTAACCAATGATGGCATAGGAAAAAAACATTTTTTATCAAAGCATATTATTTAGGCTAGCTCTGCCCAAGTCCTGGTTAGTAGGTAATTGAGTTATGTGGAAGTAATACTTGACTGGCCAATTATTATTATAAAATACGTATTGATCGTATGATTTATGAATAATTTTTTTTTTAATTAACAGTTTATTCTATATCATATTTGGCTAGAGTACACACTAAATTGTAGACTTAGGATAATTTAAAACTCCCATTCAAGTACATACTGCCTGACATTCAAAACAAAATACCGGTACAGCTGCATAAATAGGTTTACAAATGCTAAAAAAATGCAAACAGGCTTTGAAAAGTACTACTTGGGTTATGTCATACTTATAACAAAAGCGGCGAGTTAATTAGCGATATATTCTTCTTTCGTATAAACCCTTGAAAGGTTTTTGAAAGTAGTCTTACTTACTATAATTTTTAATTTAAGTATTGTGTTTTGAATAAATAAATTTAAAAAACATGACAACTAATGAAAAATGGTAACCACCACCAATATGCAATTGCGATGCGTCCTTGACAAATCAAAAATATCTTCTTTAAATCTTAAATTCCACTACAAAAAAAGTAAAGAGAACAAGAAACTCTAGGGGTTGTTTTTGTGTATAGACAATTGTTCATATTTGTCAATTTGAAGTAGCTAAATTACTTAAGATGGCGCCGCAATAAAAATATATACATGAACTTTTGAAAATTGATTTGAAAAAACAAATATATGCGATTTAAATCCGGAAAAATAGTTTCATTTCCTAAATATATACATGAGTTAAAAATATTTCTTTTTCTTTTAATCTTAAACGCGGTCACAGTTCACTAAACTGGGGAACTATAATCTCAGTACAGAGTACTAAAAAACCCGACCTCAACCGTCATTCATCCCCTAGTGTGCTATCCTTAGAGGTGGAATATTTTGTTCAAATTTAAATGGGACCACTCCAAGTACCCTCTTTCCAACAAAAAAAAAATCATCAAAATCACAAATGCGAGTTATCGCGTAACATACATACAAAAAAAAACATGCAGTCAATTTGAGAACCTCCTCCTTTTTTTGAAGTCAGTTAAAAATGGGATCTGTAAAGAGTCCGAAACGTTGGTTTGTTTGGAATAACAAATATACGCGATTTAAATCCGAATAAAAAATAGCTTCATTTCCACTGTGTAACAATCGCGAAAACCTAATATATTTGACATATTTTATCATTATATATGTATTGTTTCAAAGGTCAAACACCTGCTACTTTGTACTAGTCGTAATTATTGATTTAATTATATTCGCTGGTGACAAATTAGCCACTAAATTTTGGTCGTTTGCCAAACTTGAGTGACAAAATAGGTCATTCACTACTCACCGGAGTTGTTTTTAGCGCTCAGCTGTTTGCCTTAAAAAGGAATTTAAATATTATAGACTAAAGTGTGGATGAGTTTGGGGCCGCAATAATATACTGTATATATGCCATCGACAATAAGAAATTGTTTAGACTGAATAAGCACTTACGAGAGAAAAAGAAAGAAAGAAAGAAAGAAAGAAAGAAAGAAAGAAACATTTATTCAGTACCCTTAAATTGTATGTACATAAAAATAAATTAAAACTAAAATTACTGATACTGAATGGGCACCGCTCAGCATGTGCCGTGGCTGAGAACAGCCACGTCGCTGGTATTATGCGGAGCCCAGGGAGTGCGTCGCAGGCGCACTAAACTAATACTACAAAAACATTGACTTACTTAAATTCGCAATATGCGTACAATTAATTTATGATGCGACAAAATGTGTGATGCTTAACTATATCTATACCTATTGTTAATTTATTTATAATTTATTTATAATTAATTGATAATATTATGTTATGTATGCAAACACCATTCAACTATCAAACAAACTTAATTATATATAAAAGAAAAGTAAAAACGACTTATTTCCTAACTATAAAGTTGGAACTGATTGCAAAAAGTATAACCGAATTAGGCCACATATACATACAAAATCCACTTATACACAAATGATACATCTAATATTAAAACGCGTAACATCTTTGATTAGCATCAGGTGAAGTTCTGGTTAGGCAAGGAGACCTTTAATCTAATCTGTTCTACTTATGATGGCCTCAGTCGGTGACTCGCACACCGGTTTTCATGGTGTCGCTATCTCTGAGGTCCCGGGTTCGATTCCCGGGCCGGGAGAAATATTTGTATGGCCTACATTTATTTCTCTCGTGAGTTTGGGTGTAATTTGTGGTTGTCTATGTGTGTGTCCAGGGCACCCACGACACAGGGTTTCCCTAGTGCGGGTCTGTGTTGAGTGTGTGCGTTATTATACAAAAAAAATTGAGAAAATGATGTCCAGAACAATACAAAGGTTCATGGCAGGCGAACATAAAAACACATCGAGTCTAGCCTTCCCAACCAAACTACTTTTGTAATCGCGAAAATAGAGGGGGCAGCAAGGTTGACCCCAGGCGGCAGAAATCGACGGTACGCCTCTGTGTCAGTCTTGGGCTATGCCACAAAGTTTCGTTATTGCTTGCAATATTACGGTGAGCTAAGTGAAGTTGGTGTTAGAATTGAAATGTAATTACATTGACCTATCAACAAATTAACACTTAACCGTATGATAATACAATAGACTACTTACTGAAAATATGTTACTCCATTCCATTTTATCACTTTACAGGAGTTATTTTATACAATTTTTTTATTCATACATACGAATGACATGCCATTTGGTCGCTCAAACGAACTGCGACGCGCAATTTGTTCCTCTTTTTACAATTTGTTTATAATAATAATAATATAATTGTTTATTCAGGTATTATTTTTAAGGTCCAATGGTTTTAGTACAGGGTCAAGAGCACGTCAAACTTGACACTTAAGATTTAAATCCAAGTCTATGCCGCTTACGATAATAACGGTCCAAAGTTCAAAGTGTCAAGCTTGACGTGCTCTTGACTGTACACTTGAAAAGTAACTTAATATTTAATTTAGTTATAATTATTATAATAATAGTGAAAATTTAAGTACTCAAAAATCAAAATAACATATTAATAAGGTCTATACTCAACTACCGATGACCATGGTGTAGATATATAGTAGATATAATTGATATTCTACCACAGCCCGTAATGCTTAAGAACATCTTATCACTAACGCATGCACGTAAATGCTTAACATAATATGCATGAAGAAGCTTTAAGCGTGTTTGTGTTACACACATAGCTCCGCACTAGGGAAACCTTGTATCGCGGCTGCCCTGGATACACACCTCTGCGTGGCGGACCAGCACGGTAATCGTTCGTCCACGGGGCAGTAGAATTTACTTTTACATTTTTCTTTAACACAAACCATCGGAAAAATGGAACCATTCTTCGGTTTTTTCACTCAACTACTTCTCATCAGCTTTTTCGTGCAATAAACCTTTTATCTGATCTACATGACTTAACGGTTTTCTCGTGCCTCTTACGCAGAAGTCCTAGAGAAGGTGAACGACAGGTACTTGTACCACCCATTCCATTCGAAAAACGTTTCGTATAACAAGTGAATGCAATACACTACGTCATCTGTGTTTCAAGTACAAATTAAGGCTTTTCAAGACCAGAATGAATAGGTATTTTTCAGAGAAACGCGTACTGCCGTCGGTTTTATCGTCTTTTAACATCAGTTGAAATTGTGATCAAGCCTATATTTTATTTATTTATTGAAGTTCATCAGCAATTGATACATGTACGTTTCACATTAGTAAGGGTGAAACACAGCTTACAGGTATTTAAAGGTGAAACACAGCTTGCATTAAATTGAGCAGCAATAGCCTTAATATTACATTCTGTAAAAAGTATTCTATAAAAAGAACAAACGGAATATAACGATAAAATGTGATAATCAGAATAAAAATATACATCCTAAATGTAAAGGTTGAGTGTAATATAAATTATTGCAATTAATGCCAAGATTACTGCTAGTTTACTTGCTAAGGATTGCCTTGCGGAGATCGGTTATCGAGTCCGAGAAAATATCTCCTGTTGCACTATACTCATTGTGTAGTCTGAACAGACGGCTGACCGGTGAATTGAGACCTAATTTAGTTCTCCTGTGTGGTGGTGACAGAAGAGCAACGATCTTTTTACGGGGGTAGCGATGGAGAACGCTTAGTTTGGATATTGATATTAATTGTGGGCAGTCAATCTTGTTCGTAAATAACTTGTGAAGGAAGGCTAGGCCCAATAGATCTCTGCGCTTTTCGAGTGAGATCATTTTGAATTTTTTAAATCTCGATCCATATTTATTGTATTATATTGTAAGGTACTTCCATTCTTGACAAAGGCCATGAAATGAATGACCTAACTTTGCTATTCTATCATATATAATATTTCTATCATACCAAAACAATTTGTCCAAATTCAAACAAACCTCATAAATACTACGATCTGTAGGCCGTCGGAATTATCCTATTTCTTCCATATTCATTTCTTCCACGGCTGTATATTAATAATTAAAAAACTAAATTCTTTGCAGGATTCACCAGCCCTGGACGCATCAACAACCTCAATAATGGGAAGCGAACCAAACATATACGACACAAAACTAACCACACAAACAACAGATGTAACAAACCTAAAAACGCATATTTCTGATTCAGAAATATCACGAATCTCCGAAAAGCACGATAATCAAAACCGAATCGTATTCACATTAGGCGAAGATACAAATTTACTCAACATTGAAAGTCAAAAATTAGTACGAATATCGAGTAATAATCAAGATGAAATTTGTACCACCTGTCTGGATGACAATGTTAAGAAAATTTGTACAGAAATTAACGAATTTTGTACTACTAACAAATCTGAAACACAGGAAGGGCTCGATATAGCGAAACATATAGATGAAAGTATAGATATAGCAAAATATATGGAAAGGCGGAGTGAAATAGACAATGAGGACATGTGCAAAAACTGTGAGGGTAACACAGATGGTGTTTGTGACATTGCTTGTGCCAAAATTGTTACTGATGTCATTGTGATACCTAGTGCAGAGGCTATATTGGATACTGGGCAAACAGACACACTGACAGACGTACAGGAAAGATCTTTACAGAAAACTGACATAGACGCAATAATAAAAGAACAAAATAAAGTAGAAATAAATGAACAGGATTAAGACAATAATTTATTTTTTGTAAGTGAAATAATAGATAGATTCGTGCACTAGCCATGTTGCCAATTTTGAAACTGACCTACACAATATACAGACGAAGGCTTCAAATTTCCCCCCAGAATTCCCCTTTTTTACATTGGAGGTTAATAAAATGACGTCACAAAGTTGTCACCATTGTTCCATTTGTTATCTTGTTATATAATTCAGAGTTTGTTTTTAAACTTCTTATATTCTACTCAAAAGTTATGTAGAGCATAGCAAGCTAGTTACTTTGAACCGTTCGTATGTCTGCGGCATAGAGCTGACTTTAAATATAAATATAAGATTGACAGATAAGATTGCTTTTCCTTCCACCCCACTTTTATTGACAATAAACATAAACATCGAGTAATTCATCACTACTATATCTGCCATCCACTAACTAAAACGCGGCTATGTGACAAATGGTCAAGTATCCGTTTTAGATAGAAAAAGAGCACAAAATTCTCTTTTAAAATTAGTTAAAGTATTCGAGTTATCGAAACTTACCCTAACAATGCATAGGTGAAATATCATTGAACAATATCGATATTCTAAAACTGGGTTTTCGTTTTTTATGATATCTCAAAAAATTATTTTGTCACTTTTAGTTAGCGGATACATATCCGTATGTACATACAAGTATCATTTTTTTTCACACAACTTGAAATATTAATTACACACATATCATCAAGCCTGTCTCCTACCGGAGCAGGCAGATACTATGGGTCTCCTACTACGCTTCTGGCAAACCCCCTTCTCCTCCTCTACTCCATCAGTCTTTTTTTATGATATCAAGTGACGGGACAAACAAGTCGTGGGCCTGGTGGTAAGCGACAGGCCTTTCGATAACAGTTGCAGTGCCATTTACGAGCTTTAAATCGCAAAGATCTGACGGGCACTGCCACTGCGTCTGTCACTCTTAGACATAAGTTGACAAGTCCCATGTGCCTGTGATTTCATCGGTCCCTTTCAAACCCGGAACGCATTAATGCTCACACTACTGCGTGGTGGCATCAATAGGCAAGGTGGCAGAACTTCCCTGGACGAACTCTTTTCACAAGCTCTACTGCTACTTGTTTATTTTTGGTATTTCTAACCCGGCCTTTTTTAGAGACATCCCCAGTCTGATTGAGATATGTACGCCAAGGTAGACCTCTACCCACGCCTCCATCTACATTCGCTCTATAAATTTGTGTCGTCAGTCTACCAACATTCATTCTTTCTACATGACCACCAAACCATCCCTCTCTCTATCCTGGTCATTACATCATCTTTCATACCACTACACCCTGCCCTACCACTACACTATTCGGCATTCTTTTTTTGTAATTAATTACCACTAAGGGCGCGTTCCCATTATGTCGTAATGTTTTATTTATCGTTGGACAACTGTCGCTTCTAGCTATATCTCGACTGTCTGTCATGACTGTGTCATGGATATTTTTTTTAACGTCGAACGGTTGCACGACATCGTTTGATGCACAGCTGTTCTGTTGGATGAATAAGACGTGACTAGTAGCTGCGATCATCTGTCGTCACAGTTTTTATTGTGACGTTTTATTTATCGTCAGACGACTGTCGTTCTAGCGCTTCCCATTGTTTCGCCAGTCTGTTGTTATAACTTCAAAGGAGTCGTGAACGACGTTTAATCGAGTTGTGCTGTATGTGAAACAAACCACGACACTTTAAACTGCACGACTGTCTATCGTCACGTCAAAATGGGAAAGCAGCCTGAGATTGTAAAACGTGGATGTAGCAATTATACTTGTCATGCTCAGACGATTCGCGTTGTATACTTTTAAATATCCCATAGAAAAATTTACCGTAACACAAGGATACATAAAATTCAAAATAATATATACACAGTATTAGATGGAGAGAGTTTATCGTCTCGAAGATACGATTATCGAAAGAATATAAAAAGCTTTCCTCGTCTAAACATTCGCGATTATCGACCGTCCACGTGAGCGATAATCGCCTCGCCTTTGACTATTGAACGTCTCCGTGTAAACAGAACTCGAAAGCAAAAATCGTCTTTCGAGTTTCTATGCCAGCCGTTTCTACCACGAGTGCAGTGCGCGAGGGTGTTTTGATTATCACTGCTTTTCTAAGACAAGAATTAAAAGAACGTGAACGAAAAAAAAATTGGGATTAAGAAATGTTATAAAATTTGGAAAAAAAAAATATAAATGTATATTTCTATACAGTGCAATGAACTTACTATTATCAGCAGTTCCAAATTTGAAATAATTTTTGCGTCATTTTAATATGTCAATACTCAATACCGCAGTAATCACTGAACTCGAATGGCAATTCTCGCACTCAAAACGGCTCGAACCGATTTGTACGATAATAGTATGAACTTGAAAAAATGTCATACGAGATCGTGTTTAGACAAGTCGAAAACTCGTAAGCAACAATCTCCTTACTACATATTACTCTGTGTAAACAGTCGAGGAGGCGATTAAGTTGCTTGCGACTCTCGTATGACAAATCGTAGGCGAGATTTTAGTTCTTGCCTGAATGTAAACATTTTGATACGATAATCTTATGGCGATTATTGCTTACGATAATCGCGTACGATTTTTCGTCACGAAGCGTGTGTTAAACTCTCTCCATCTAAATGGGCCTTTAGTCTCTTAATAAATCAAAAGTAAGTTAACTGAAACAATGAACCTGAGTAAGTGCTTTTAACACATGAAAGTGATATGTTTTATAAAAAATAAAAAAGTCATAAAACTGATACGACCTATATGAAACAAATTATGTATAATGTGAAATTTTATAATTCTCCTGTTATAAATTATAAAAACCTGTTTGAACTTCTCCCCTGAAAAGTTTTCATTTTGCATATGTGTCCTTATTACGCAAAGGGTGCGAAATAAACATTTTAACGACTTTTTGCCGTAGCGCCATCTGTGAGAAATTGATTTCTTTACTCAAAAACCGAAAACAAAGATCTGCTACAATCACATAGAAAAATTCGTAAGGTTCGGTCCCTGGTTTAGTTGGAATAGCGTCTGGCGAGGTTTGCTGGAAGACGTTGGTTCGAATCCAGACGTATTAAAGAATTTTTTCTAAGTGTTCGATCTGTCACACTAGTAATTCTAACAACTTAAAATGTATAAAAAATTTTTAGTTCCCTTTCCGCCTGTGATTTTACTTTTATCAATACTTATTTCTACAAACTAGAAAAGGCTTTTATCAGAGTGATTATCCGACATAAATTCGTTTTAGATTCATGTATATGTTCCTAAAACCGAGAAACAGACACAACTGTGCACTTATTGATAAGTGATGGTGATCACAACTTGCCATTTTAAGGAAGCGTCCTTAACATTACAATTGCCTCGTCGACTGTGGATCATCCGATCTCCTGTGCCTTTGACTGCACTGCCCTTCGATGCGAACAAGGTGTTCTGTTGCTACAAAAAGCACATGAACCTTAACACTTTAGACCTTTCTTATATCGGCATAGAGTTTAATTTAAATCTTAAGTGTCAAGCTGCACATGCACTGGACCACTAATCTGCTGTTTATTACGCAACAATACATCGGTTAATAACGTACAAACGCGAGCGCAAACAGAACTGTCAAAATTGTTCAGTTAAAAGCTTACAAGTTACTATTAAACCCTGTAATTGTAGCAACAGTAGTAAGTATTGACATTACGTAATATCTTAGAGTGGTTACACACTGCTATGTATAGTCGATTGTATCGGTACAAACGCGCGACTGCATCGATGCAATCGCCTTTAAATCCCAAGTGTAGTGATGTAATCGCGCTTTTATATCGATGCAGTCGCGCGCTTACATCTCGTTTGCATCGCTGCTTGAAATCGCACGCGTGTGTAAAGGTAGACGATAAGCGACTGTGTCGCATTTGCATCGCTTCTAAAAGTTGCAGTGTGGAACAGCTCTTAGAGTGAATACCTCGTATACGATTTCTGTGTAATTGTTCAGTGCCTCTACCACGAGGTTTCTGTGACAGTTGTCGCTAGCGACCGCGTATATTACTTCACAATTTTGTATGGCAAATTATACAGCGCCCCTAGCGGTTAGAAGAAACAACATATATATAACGATAACTGTCACTGTAATCTCATGGTAGAGGCACAGGACAAAAATAAAAACGTGAGGTATAATTTACTAATAAACTTTTTTTAAACTGACCTCAAACACAAGCTACTGTACGCTGTTGAGGAGTTTCTCCCATCTATCTGCAATTTCTATCATCAGATCTAGGTCACCATCACATTTTGCTTTCATTGGAATTACATCTATGTGCCAAGTTTTTTTGAATTCCTTTAAGGAAACGGGATTAAATACAATGAACAGTATTCAATTTTACCTCAAATATATAACAATAAAAGTTTGACTAAATCACTTTGAAAAAATATATTATAGTAAAATTGAGTAAATACACTGACTACTATACGGTGTGAAAACACGATTCC